CCCTAAACTATTTTTAGATGAACACTCAATATTCTAAACTAGTTATCATAACAATTTCACTCCTAAAATAATTAAAATATAGCATATTTTCCTTAACATTAAATATCTCAATGCACCATTAAAAATATTGATTGAGACTTAAGTCTGACAAAAAACACCACATGTCATGCTAGGTGAATTTGAGTTAAGGTGCATCATTTTTTTGTCAAACTTAAGTTATAGTCAGTATTTTTAATGCTCGACGTTGATTTATTTAACATTAGGAAAAAAATGCTACATTTTAATTATTTTAGGAATGAAATTATTACAACAAATAGTTTAGAATGCTACATGTTCCTTAGAGAATAGTTTAGGGACAAAAATAGACCTTAATCCTTATATTAATTAGATATTTACTTTAGATTTAAAGGGCAAATTTATCTCAAAATTTTTACAAGAAAGATATGGTCTCTTTAAGTTTTAGCATGAGAGTGAGCATAATACCTTCAATCGGGTTACTCCTCATAATCAGTGAGATTGGGTTAGTTCATTCACATGGATGTACCTTTATATTCTTAAGAACTCAGATTTAGTTGGAGGTAACCAAAGGACATAAAGGAGTTAATGATCATGCTTGATAATGATATAGGTTATTTGTTTTTTTTTTATAACAAAGGAAAAAAACTATGCAATAGCATCTTGCTGCATCATAAGGATTAAGTCATAAAAAGAAAATTCAAAGGATGAAACCAAGCTATATGCACGATAGGGCCCTCTTCCTGAGGATATCCATCACTTCATTAGCATCTCTAATATATGTTAATTGGTTTTAATTGCCCATTTTGTATGCCTATTTATTGACTTGACGTGCATGTGATTGATTTAATATATCTTGATTATTAAATTATTGTACTTATCCCCTCTTTATTAACAAATTACAGGTGATGGGTCCAGGGGAAGCAAAGAGGATGCATATGAGGAAAAGACTAGGGTCCTTTGCAATGCCTTTATTTATTTTGAAGTATTTTTGTGTGTAATGGAATATTATTTCAAACTATGATTTATATTTTGTGATACTTATACCATTTATATGTGCTTTTGCGGACATGTCATGCTTTGTGACTTAGGTACAAAGGCGATAATTTGCCCTTAGCCCATGTTGTTGGGCTCCATTTAGGCTCAATATTATTTTTGGACTCTTGACAATCCTAATTATCAACTCTAGGCCCAATTAAGATCATAATCATAAACATAATTAATTAATTAACCTCAACCAATCCTCAATTAAGCTCCTAAATTAAATAAAGATGTTACAATTATCAACGGCGTCATGAGTATCTCGAGATGCTCTTTAATATATTTATTTGATACGACACAATTGCATATTGTAGGACACAAGTTTCTTGATGTGTTTCCTGTACTCAAGGAAGGTGCATGTGCTTAAATTTGTGTGGGGCCACAATAAGAGATGAATATAAAGGATACGTCAATTCGATCTTATCCCCTCCCCACCATAAGCAAGCCTTTGTTAAAAAATTGCCAAAAACCAGTTCCCATAACTTGAAAATCGACATGTCATTCTGCTATCTACGTACTCAATAATTTTTATTTTTTTTGCCATACGTACTCACCAATAAATCAGTACTCCCCATTTGATATATGTGAGGATTTTAGTTATGTAATTAATAACTTTTTATTTGATGTTATATATATATATATATTCAGATATTACCTGGCTTAAAGAAGAAATAACTCCCTCTCTCAGCATAGTTTTTATTGTGGTTAATAAATTAAAACTTCACTCCTTTAAATTTATTATAGTTATCAATTTAATTTTTCAAGTTTAATTTTTATGAATTTAATTCTATACATTTTCTTAAGTTATCACATTAATCCTTTATATTTTAAAATACAACTTATCTCTCAAATTAATTTTCTGCATAAAGTATGTTAATAATTTGACAGCTTGGTTTAGATGGAATGAAAAAATGCTGGGAATAAAATAAGGGTAATAGAAAACTATGATAAAAATTTTCTTAAAATAATTTTTTTATTATTTTATAATCTTTTCCTCTTGGTTTTATTCCCCCTATGTTCTTTCTATTTTCAAGGGGACATGTATAGAGCAAACTGACCTTATAATATAAGGTCAATTTTTATCAATCAAATCTTTTATGATGCTTTTTGTTCTTTTGTTATTTATAAAATTCATGAGTCTATTTTCTCTTTCCATCCTAAATAATGACACTTTTTTTCATTAATCTACATATGATTGTCAACTCAATATTCCGTTAACCATGTTAGCAGATTTTAACAATGTTACCTCTTCTTAAAAAAATAAGGATTGAATTGATAATTTGAAATAAATTTAAAGGACTAAATAAGTAGAAATTAAACTTGAGAAATCAAATTGATAATTGAACCAAATTTTAAAAATGTCGCTTCTCTTAATTTATTTATTGAATATTGTTATATATTAATTTAAAATACTAATTAAATAAATTATAATAAAATTATTATTTAATTTGATATAAAAAAATAAAAATTAATAACGATATCGGGGCAGCATTTTCAAACTCAGCAAATGCCACCTCTATATTTTTATTTATTAAATAATATGATATAAGACTTAAAATTATTAATTAAATAAATTATAATAAAATAATTATTTAATTTGATAAAGTAAAATGTTAAATCATTAATAGAGTAGAAAAGTGGTATTTTTTATATAATATTTTAAAATATATTAAACAATAATATTATAAATTATAAACAATATAAAAAAATAAATCAAAATAGAGGTGCCATTTTGAAGCTCTAGAAACACCACCCCTCTTCATTTATTTATCAAATATTATTATATATTAATTATAAATAATAATTAATAAATAAATAAAATAGTTATTTTATTTGAAAAAAATACTAAATTAAATAGAGTTTAGAGGTAGAATTTTCTTATTTAATATGATAAAAAATATCAAATCATTAACAGAATATAGAGGTGGCATTTTCAAGCTTTGGAAACACAACGTCTGTACTTTTGATTATTAACAAAGTATTGATTTAATAAAAAAGAAGACAGGTGGCATTTCACCACTCTTGGAATGCCACCTCTCTTCTTTTAACTATTAAATAAAATTATATATTTTTTATTAAAACTAATTAAATAATTATGATAAGATAAATATAATTTGAGTAAAACAAAATACTTATTAATGACAAACTGGAGGAGTGGCATTTTATTTAAAAAATGCCATCTTTTGTTAATCAACAATATAAATAAAAAATAATTTATAAGCAGTGACATTTAATATAATTAAGAAACATCACCCCTCTATTTTGGCTTTAATATTAGTGATGTTTTATTTTTTATTACTATAAAATGCATGTTATTAAATTTCATTTCTGTAGTAGTGAACCAAACAGCCATCTGAAAGGATTGACCCCGGTTGGATTTTTTTCCTTTTTCTTTTTTTCCTTCGCCCTTTTAAATTGTGAACCCTAAATCAAATCTAGACCCCTTAATTAATATTTTAGATATCATTATATTTTTTGTCAAAAAACTTATAATTAACATTTGTATAAGACATGTATTAAATCTTATATATGAATATTCCATTTATTGGGGAGTTAATGATTTTATTATTTAAATATTACCTTTTTCATAATAAATATGAATATTTTTGTATATTTTAATTAAATTATATTATTTTAAGATCATTCTGATTTTCAGTATCTTAAGCAAAAAGACAGCAGAAATAAATGCATCTGGCCAGTAATAGAGAGAGAGAGGCATGAGCTAGCAAAGTCAACCTTGTTTCAATTATGCTGCGATGCTTTCGTTCAACAATGCCGTTTTGCTCAGAGGTATATGGACAGGAGAGGCGATGTTCAATACCGCATGAAGCCAGGAAGGGTTTGAACGATTGAAATCCACCCCTATTGTCACTCTGAACTTGATGAATAGACAAACCAGTTAAATTTATTTTCAACCATCAACTTGAAGTCCTTAAATTTGGAAAGAGCATCAGATCTCTTTTGAAGGAAACAAATCCAAGTGAAGCGACTGAATGCATCAACAAATGCAAGATAATAAGTAAATCAATGAGAAACAAGAGGTGCTGGACCCCGAACATCCGTTGTTATTAACTGAAGATCGAGGACGAGAGAGTACACAGGATGAACTTTGCAAAAGGAAGTTTGTGACTCTTCCCTAGTTGACAAGCAGTACAAAGAGCAGAGATACTGAAGGAGAACTATAGGGAATATTATTGACATACGTTTAACAGTCTCAAATGATGGATGACCAAGGCGACAGTGGCATAACAAAAGGGAAACAGATGAGACAGTATGATGAGCTTCTGCAGCAGGAGAGATAGTTGAGGTAGGAGCAGAAGACATCCTAGCAAGTGCAGCAACTGGATGCATGCCATTGCGTTCAGGCCCATGCATCAGAATATAGCAAGTCTGCAAGTCCTTCATAATGCTACCATGAGGGAAAAAAACTCAGCAGAAACAGAATTATCTATAGTGAAACGTGCAAGAGAGACAAGATTCTTCTGCATGCGAGGTACACACAGCACATGAGGCATATAAAAAGTACTAACGCGAGATTTAAGATGAGGCTTACCAATCTGAATAATAGGTGCAGCATCTCCAGTTCCAACTTGAACATTACCATAAGTAGCCTCTGGAGTCAAAGCGCTCAGATCAGCAGGATCATGAATTATTTGTTGAGTGGCTCCTGAATCAAAGTACCACTGATTATCAGTTACCACTTGAGGTGCTGCAACAAATGCTTGAGCTAAAGCAGGGTTGCTAGTAGAGGCAGAAGCACTTGCAGGAGCAGAGACATCAGAAGTAGATAAAGGCACCACAGTAGAACTCGTGGAAGACACAGCCGGAACCGAAGTAGTAGTAAACTCATGAGGCACAGATGAAATTAGATGCGAAGATGGCACAGAAGCAGTAGTCTAATATTGCATATATTATTTAACAAAAACACACACATGGACCATTCCATGACAAATTTCATGGACAAATTAAAACATAATTAACACAATACATCACACAGTTTCTTTCTCAAACCCTTAAATAAAGCCAAAGCCATGAGACACGTTTTAGAAAGAAGTAAGCCCTAATCTATTGTGCTCATATTGGCACAGGATCCACAAACAATAGTGTAATGTAATCCTTCATGATTCCTCCAGAATGAGTGTAATTATCAGCATCCTTGTCCATCGTTTCGATGAAACAAGCATGACTCAGAACTATCATAAGAAAAGGCATAGGTACTTGAGTTGGTCTGAGACATTGCTCATTAATATCTTTCCATGTGCTCTTGATCATCTTCCTTAATTCCTCTATGGTTTCTTGCCTTGACACTCCATGCTCCTTCATATAGCATTCTACAGAAGAGGCAATGTGCCTTCTTTTCTGCTCAAACTGCATCATCACAAATATTTTTAAGAGAAAGATAATTAAAATAAAGTAAAATTTTATTGGAGAAAGAAAAAAAAAATTATTTGGAATTTTGATCAATTATATATATGTATACCTCATTGGAGACTATGTCATCCATAAGCCTGCCAATAACAGAAGCAGCTTCGATAATTTTAGGTTGGGTCTGTATCCATTTGAAAATGTCCTCGCTTGCAATGTCTCTCATATAAATGAAAGCTGATATGGATAGGAATGTAAAACAAGAAGTTATTGTCGATACGTTCAAGTACTCCTCTGTTGTTGGTGTATAGTTTCTATATAACCATCTGGCTTCTGTCATGTAGGCTTGCACTACCCTTTTAAACTGGCATATGAAAATAGTATTTAATTAAATCTATTTTAGTAATATGTATAAAAAAGAATCAGCAGTATAGAGAAATTTATAGGGAAAAGTATCATCGTACATCTTTTATTATATAGTCAACAGTGTATGATCTTCCTTCTTTACCCTTGTCCTCACCATCTATTAATTCTTCAAAAATATTCAACAATTCCTGATAAATAAGCTTCATATATCCAGGGAAGTCATCCAAGCAACTAATATCCCACCTGTGTATGCATGTTAAAAATTAAATAGTTTAACTTGAAACACTAGAAGGGAAACTAGATAAAATGAGAGAGAGGGAGAGAGAGGGATGGCCTGAGCTAAAAATTCAACAAGCATATTCCAAAACTAATAACAAATAGGATATGCTAAACCTCTCAATTGTGTCGGTGAAGAGTTCTAGTTCGTCAATGGTTCCATAAACATCGAATTTATCATCAATGATAGTTAAGAAACAAAATTCTTTGGCTATGATGCTTCTGCATTTTGAATGCTGAGGCTCAAAATAAGAAGTCGCGAGAGCCCAGAAGTAATTTTCCACAACCTTGTTTCTTACATATGATAGATTTTGCACATCCAAACTGTTCCACCATCTATAACCCCACCACAGAAATGAAAGTATGTATAAGTAAGTTCGTAACTACAGTGTTAGTGTTTCTTCTGTTTGTTCCACAAGGCTCGAGAACCTACTTGCAAATGTTGGCAATTTCTTTCTGGTGCAGTTTTTGGAGTGCGTTGAAGTCTAATTTTGCTAAGGTCAAAAGAACTTCATGATAGGAAGGATGTAGGTGGTAGATTGAGATGTATTTTCGTGCCTCTAATCTTGCTATTCCCCTACATGGACACTGCTTTAAGACATGGTTGAGTTTAGCTGCAAGAAAAGGGTTTGATGATTCAATGGTGAAGGATTGAAGATGATGGGAGGTGAAGGCAAGTGCTTCGTCTAAAATGTCTTCTCCATGAATACTCAGATGAGAAGCTTCATACAATGTTATCATTCCTCCAACATCTGTAGTAAGTGATTCACTGAAGTTTCCTTTCTCATCCTTGAACTTGTTGAACACATCTGATGAAAATGATTTGTGTGAATTGGTTAAAAGGGAGCCCAAAAAAAAAAAGGCTAGTTTAGAGAAAAATAGCATACATACATACATACATATACATATATATACATATATATATATATATATATATATTTTGCGAGAAAATCTCTTTTTTCTTGTAACGTGGCAAATTTATTTATGGAATAATTTTTTTCAATAAATAAAATAGGATTTTTAGTGTCTATTTTTACATTAACATGGGATTCAAATTACAAAAGAAAAATGGACCACATGGGAAGCATATACAGTGGCATACCAGGTGAAACAGCATACCCATGTTGCCTCAGCAACTTGAAGAGTAGGGCTAGAGAATGGAGATCTTCAATGTAAGTTATTTCGTTATTTTCAACATAATCATTGTGAAGCAGCTTCAACATTTGATCAATCTCAGGTTCAAAATGATATGACAAACCCAAACATTGAATTGAATCAATCACTTCAGCTTTATTCAATTGTTTCTCCACAGTAGAGACAAGCTTCTTCCTTACTTCTTCTTTCAATGTTTCAATATTTTTGTTCATTTCATCATCAACTCCCTAGATATATGGTTTTAAAGAACTTGTCGTTATTAACTATCAAGTTTTATGTACTACGTAAAATTTGGCTAAGTGTGTTCAACAACAGATATAAGATATTGAATATATGTTTTGAAAACATCAAAATTAATGAAGAAAAATTACTAATAAGTACGTAAAAATTCTTTTTGCATGATTTAAATTGTGCGAAGAACCAAACCAAATGAAGACACATAAATGGTAATTTAAACCCTAAATTATAAGTCTAAGGGCAATTTGAACCCTAAACTCATATTTGGTATATTTTGAACCCCAAATAATTAAACTTGGGACAATCTTGGCCATACTATTAATCCCAAATTAACGTATGTTATTTTAGCACAATGGGACCCACATTTTCTCTCAGCCACTTCATTCACTCAAATTTAATTGTTCAGAATTCAACACGTATCAAATATAAATTTAGAGTTCAAGTCACCTCTATACCTATAGTTTAACCATTAAGGCATTAAGCTATAAATTTTTTTCTTACAAGTGAAACGCATACATATGCAGAAAATTAAAATATAGGACAAAAAATCAAAATATAAAGGTATATAGCCTACAGCAGCGGTTATCTGCACTTGAATCTCTAAAGCGAGGAAAAATATGTAAAACTTAAAGAACAAGAAGACCAGGCCAATGGTAATTAAAGACTGATATATATATATATATATATAGAGAGAGAGAGAGAGAATGCAAAATAGAAGTAAAATAAAATTTAGTGCAATGGAAAGTAATTGATAAGAATATAAAACAAGCTGTTAATGAAATTTTATTGAAGAGGCTTAGAAGGAAATTTCTCTCCAAGATTCCATCGTTCAAAATTCTTCTACTTTAATATGTTGCGTGTGTATCATAAAGTAGGGACATAAATACCAAACCGTCAGAAGCATATTGAAGGAAATAATCATTCCAAATAGAAGGATGAAAATCTGCAGATTGTCGATCCAAATTGGCTGTGGCATCAATATTAGGATTTGAAGGAGGAACTAGTGATGAAGAAGCAATGATAGACATATTGTGGCTATCAAGAGAAGGGGTTTTTGGAAAGTCAAGGAAGAGGGTTTCACTTGTATCATTAAAAGTTGGTGGAGATATTTATATATAGGAAACGTTGAAGAATTTGTTTAATTATAAAATATAAAAACTCTAATAACCACATCATTATTTCAACACTACGTGATTTATACCATAAAGTAGAAGAGAATATTCAAAACTCATTTCAGCGTGCCAAAAGGATTATAATCCATCTACTGCTATTTATAATTAAGATGAGCAGAAGAATTTTTTTATTTTACTTATAAGGCATGTCTTTAAATTTTTATCTCTTGTTAAATGCTGGTAAGAGAAAGTACATTATTAGAGTATGTATACTTAATAAAAATAAAGTCAAAAACTTATTAAATTTTTAGACATAATTAATAAGTTTTAAGACTTTCATTGATTCAAATAAAACAGGTTGAAAATGACTTATGAATAGAATATGAAGGAGTAGTTATGCAGTCCTCAAGGGGCCAAGGCTGCATTATTTCATTGGGAGCAATTTATCCTATAACGAAGGGTGTATGATAGAGAACTATTTTTTTATCCAAAAAAAAAATAAGAAAGAAAATAAGAGGGGATGAAAAGTGAAAAGAGAAAATGGAAGGAGGAAAAATGTTCACTCTCTTTAGATATAAGCTCGAGTTAACATATATAAAAAAAGAAAATGGACAAATTTCACAATTATAATATCCATAAAAAATAAGTGAATCTAATGCTTCTTCTAGTCTCTTCTGTGCTCCTCTCTCAACCGTATCATTTTCTGCAGTAGCGGAATCAGGATAGAAATGGGAGGCGCCATATTTAAATAAAAAATTTTATATACTATTAATAATTTTTATATATTTAGAATAAAATTTTATTAAATACTTATATCTGACAAAAAATATCATAAGAATCATTTGAAATTATTTAATATTTAAAAAATTAAAAATATGTAAACTTAAGTGAAGTTTTTTTTTTATACATATGATATAGATTCTAACAAATTATATACTTGACCTACTAAAACTAACAATAACCAATATTATTTACAAAGTATACAGTAAAAATATACTCATTTATTTAAATACTTACTCAATTTAATAGGGCAGCACTTAACTATTTATTAAATTAAATCAAAATAAGTAGATTTTAATGTGTTAATATAATATTAATAACAATAATTTATTATAGAATAAATAATCTATAAATGATACATATATCTTGATTTAATTGGAAACAAGCTGCTTAAGTATATAAGGCTAATTATAATTTATTCAAAAATTTTTTTTAAAACAATCTACTAAAAAAACTAACATGTATAATATAAATACTCCCTCTATTCAAAAATATAAGGTATTTTTAACTAAATCTCACCCTCAATAAAGTAGTTATCTATTTTTAAACTAACTCTATCTTTTCATATTTACCTCTATTAAATATCATATAATAAATATAAAGTCATTATCAATAGAGGCACTTATGAAAAAAATAATGATTACACCTTAAAAGACTAAAAATGCCTTACATTTTTTAACATCTAACACCTCAAAAAATATCTTACATTTTTAAATAGAGGGAGTATTAAGTTTCACTCTTAATCATCCATTGATGATAAAAATATAGTTTATAAAAATAATTTTATAAACCAACATAGTATAACCATATAGTTTATTTCTATTTAATAAATAATAAAAAATTGTAAACACACAAATTTGTGTGCGCACAGTGAGAGGCAGAGGAGGTCCTTTTGTTGGTTTAGAGAGTGTAGGAAGTTTACCTATTTTTATGAGGATAACAGATTGATAGTGGGGTCTGGGGGACAAAGAAATCCTTTTTATTTGCTTATTGGAGTTTTTTGCTTGCTATCTAATTGAAAAAAAAAGCAAAAAAAAAAAAACACCAATCATATGTATGAGGTGTCGACCACATCACATGTGTTTGTTTCTTGTTTATTCTTTATTTTACAACGCCAATAACCGCTGTCATTGTTGAAAGAAGTTTTTGAAAATTAAAATTTTTTATATATAATTTAAAATCAACAATGTTATAAAATATATTAAATGAATTGGCTATATTAAATATTAAAATTACTTCATCACAAAATTTTAATATCTAATTTTGTAGTTTAAAAAGCTAGAAAAATAATATGAACAAAGATAAATTACATTATATTAGGCCTCTTAAAAATTTTATCTTAGGTCTCAAAATTTCTTCACGCGGCCATACACGAATAATTATTTTTTTTATTCTCAATACATCTTTTCTTAGTGATTATTAGAAGATCGAATAAAGAGAAAGTTATTTATATAAAAATATTAAAATGCATAACCTCAGTTACACCCAAATTATATGTTTTGCTTTAAAACTTTTTTTTCTTTTCATGTTGTTCACTTGGCCCTGCATGTATAACAGTAGTAACTTCTTTACTTTACAATTTTGTTGGCCTATAAATATCAACTTATTTTTTGCTTATAAATTTGTTTAGAATACGTCATGCTAATGAGGTTAATTACAAGTTTCTTGGTGTGTTTCCTACTCCTGACAAGGGCTTGAGCTTAAATATGTGTGGGGCCATAAGTGACAAAGCCTTAATAGTGAAGCCAACGTCAATTCCATCCCCATCCCCAGATCGATGCACCATCTAGAACCCTTTATAAAACTGCCAAAAACCAGTTTCTTCATATAACATCGACGTGTCATCATGTTATGTACACAATAATTTTTGTTCGTATATACTTATCTTATATAGTAAAATATTTAAAAATTTCACTGTTCATCAAACAGTAACATCGACGTGTCATTTTGTTATGGACACAATAAGTCCATGTACTGAATAATTCAATATGGTCCATCTTATCTTATATCTTAACTTTTGTTAAATATAATCTTGATCACTGTTAATTCTACAGTAAAATAAAAGTAACAATAAAGTGTCATTGTTGTATTGGTTATGGTGCAGTTAGCTTTTTTTTATAAATATCATTGTAGGATATGATTTAACTAATGTGTTGTGTGGGCTTGGGTTAAAAATTTGTTCTGAACTTTTAGTTTTAAATTAGCCCAAACATTGAGGATATTGATTTTGCCTTGAGATGGAAATGTAGTGAGTTCCCTCACCGGCCTCAAGTTTCTTTTTTACTGCAATTTTTTTCCCATCTTACTTACTCCCTCTGTTTAAAAATATAAAACATCTTTTGAAGAGTTGGATGTTTAAAAATGTGAGATATTTTTAGTTTTTTGAGGTGTAATCATTACCTTTTTTTAAAAGTGCCCCTATTGATAGTGACTTTATATTTATTATAGGTTGTTTAATAGGGATAAATATGGAAAATAAAGTTAGTTTGAAAATAGATAACTACTTTATTGAGGACAAGATTCAATTAAAAATGCCTTATATTTTTTAACGGATGGAGTATTATTTTTGAGTTTATGTTTTATTTGTGTAAGTCAATTGTATCTTTCACTTTCAATGGATTTTTCACTTCAACGCTTTTGTGCTAAGCTTTGCAATTTTGTTGTGTGCAATTTGTTACATTTTCTTGCAATCTCATGACATTAAATAATACCTAAAAAATCTATTGGAATTGGGATCTTATAAAGTATAATCACAATGATAATGAATGAATATGTTAAAAAAAAAAAGAGGAAGTTAGATTGAAGAAAATTAATTCCAAATAGAAGGATGAAAATCTGCAGATTGTCGACCCAAATTGGGTGTGGCATTAATATTAGGGTTTGAAGGAGGAACAAGTGATGAAGAAGAAATGATAGACATATTGTGGCTATCAAGAGAAGAGGCTTTTGGGAAATCAATTAAAAGGGTTTTACTTGCATCATTAAAAGTGGGTGGAGATATTTATAGGAAACGTTGAAGAATTTGTTGTTTAATTATAAAATACAAAAAATCTGATAACCACATCATTATTTCAACACGTGAATTATACCATAAAGTAGAAGAGAATATTCAAAACTCATTTAAGCTTGCCAAAAGGATCATGCTCTGTCTGCTCCTATTTATAATTAAGGCGTGGAGAGAGAGATTTTTATTTTATTTATAAATCATGTCACTAAATTTTTATTATAAGTTTCTGTTTTTATCCCTCATTAAATTTTGGTAAGGGAAGAAAAGTTATTAAAATATGTATACTTGATAAAGGCAAAGTTAAAATCCTATTAAATTTTTAGACATAGTTAATGAGTTTTAAGACTTTTATTGATTCAAATAAAACAAGTTGAAAATGACTTAAAAATATGACAGTAAGGAGTAACTATGCAGTCCAAAAGGGGCAAAGCTGCATTATTTCATTGGGAGCATTTATCCTATAATGAAGGGTATATGATAGAGAATTATTTTTTATCAATAAAAAAAATAAGAGGAGATGAAATGGGAAGAGGGAAAATGAAAGGAAGAAAATGTGGAGGAAAAATGTTCTCTCTCCTTAGACATAAGCTCGAGGAAACAAATAGAAAAAGAAAATGTACAAATTTCACAACATAAAAAATAAGTGAATCTCATGACTCTTTGAGATGTCCTTGGACATTTTATTTAATATGACGGTAACTTCATACAACAAGATTCAAACTTAAGACCTATGATAAGTTGATTAAACTTTCTCAACAGTTAAATCAAGCATCCCTCAGTATTTTATATGAAATTATAAATGAATTGTCATAACAATTAACTCATAAATACATGTGCGTTTGATGTAAGGCCATTGTTTTAAGCCTCAAAAACTGTTTGCTTGTACCCTATATACAACCAATCATTAAGATGAAGGGGACCACTTTGTTACAATTTAACAATTCTCATCTCTCCTCTCTCAATTGAATCATTTTATGTCATTATTTTCATTTTCTTATATATAAAAAATATTGCTATGTTGAATTGCTCAACAAGTTTGTTTCCTTGTGACTTTGTTTGTAAGGCCATTGTTTTAAGCCTCAAAAAATGTTTGCTTGTAACACTATATATAACCAATCATTAAGATGAATGGGGACCACTTTGTTACAATTTAACAATTC